CCCCAAAACCCCAAAACCCCGTAATGATAATCTGAAACATCTTAATGATATTAATATAAACTAATTAGTATAAACTGAAATAATTATATTGATTTAGATTATAATTTTATTTCAATAATCTTGATTCTAATTTGTATTAGTTAATTGCCTCCTCTATTATATCACTAGTGAAAGAGTTTTATTGATTCTCTATCCTTGGGGTATGAGAATTCAAATTCCCTTATATTACATTGCCATCATAAGAGCTTCATAGTAGCTTGCCACTTTCTTTTTCAATATCTTTCTGTTATTGATAATTTGTTGCCCTTTGATATAGTTAAATTGCCCTTCCAGATACCTGAGGAAGAGGCATTCTCGACAAGTTGATAAAATCGATTAGAATATTTCTTATTATACTCATTTTCAATCTTAAAAATCATACTTTTCGAATCAGTATTTTACATCAGAGCATAACTAGCTTTATTTGATCAAACCTATTAAACTGAACCGTTAAGGAGCTGATTCATGCTAACAAGACATTTTTCCTTTGGTATTTTTTCATGAGTTTGACTTTGATAAGAATTGAAAAGTTATAACTTACTCTAATGAATTTTAGATTATTCTTTGGTATTGGAGGACATTCTCTTCGTCTTATAATTTATGAGTGCATTGAAGTGCAGCCTGACCTGCTATATTATTTATTATCAGTAATTTATAATCCACAGGTATATTTCTAAATATCTGGTCTAGCTAATTCTTACTCTAAGGGTAGCCTCATTCATTACTTGAGAAAGTGATTAAGAGTCTGTGTTTTATTTACCATTATTGCATGAACTTTTTTAAATGAGTAGAAGTGTCCTTTTTATAATTACTTTTTATTATCCAAAGATGTTAATGATTATTGCAATTAGAGAGGATAATTAATTTATAGCAGCCTTAGAATTTTATTTGCCATTAAGTGATAGGTAGCAGGTAATCAAATGTATGAGGGAGGAGTAGTAGGCTTCAAAAAGCCATTATATAAAATTTTAAATGATATTTTAGTACTTAATGCTGGAAGTGCATGCAACAAGACCATAGACCTACTTTTTATTAAAGGAGCTTGGAACTGCCAAATATTTTTATTAAAACGTATCGCTAATCCTTGTTTTGAGAAGGCAAAAAGTTCTGGTTTTCTTTTATGATTTTCAAAAAAATCTAATAGCTTGGCTTGTCTATCTGTTGTCTAGCAGCTCTGTAAATTTAGTGCTAGTACCCTAACGGACCTTAACCTACTTAAATTTCACTCTCGAAAGAAGTTTATTAATTATTTTTCTTGGGAGTCAAAGAACTCTAATTTCCAATTCATCTTATCCCTATCACTGTTTTCAAGGACTTGATTATAATATTTGAGTTTTTTATAGACTTTTTTTAATTAAAAACAGTGACTATTGAGGAATGAATGAGCTAATTATCTTGATTAAGAGCCTTCTTATCAATTTTAGATGTTAACATCGAATTAAATGTCAATTGAGATTGGACTGAATTTTTGGGATTTAAATGATGCTTTTTATTAAAGTGTTGCTGTTAACTAAGACTTTAACAGCTAGTAATCTCTCATTATTAACCTAGTAAAACTTTTAACTAAAATATCAACTTTATTTAAAGTTCATTAATATCCAGTCTCCATTTTTATTAATTAGTTTTGATTATTATTTTGAATATATTATATTAATAAAAACACTATAGTTTTAAGATATTCTCATTCAGGGGTTTTGGGGTTTTGGGG